TTTTTTTTTTTTTAATAAAATGACACTTTCAATCTCTGGCACATGGAACCGGTCAATTTTTTTGTTTGCCAAAAATAGGGCGCCTGCTATAGAGCAATGGTTAGCATGCCAACACTGAGCTGTTACTCATCAGAGCTCAACTGATATGAGCCTTGTGCCAGATTAGGCTAAATATCTACTTTCTTTAGAACAAACCAAATATAGTAAAAGGTGAAAACAAAAATTCTATCATTCACAAAAGATGAAACCCATCTGAAAACTTTCGATTTTACTCTCTCTTTTTTTTTTTTTTTTTTTTTTTGTCTCATTTCAGTTCAATCATTAATGAATCCATGTGTAGTAAGATAACTCATGAAAGGAGTGTCAATGTATTTTCGGAATGTGAATGTCCAATGGGTGCTCACTCGAGAGTGTTTGATTAGACAGTTGTTTTGCAAGCAATTCTCACTGGTACTCAAACTATTAGGACCTTGTGCCAAACATGAGAATTTGAGTCTCACTCGGTGATCAGCCATTGTAACCTTGTTCCAGATTAGGTTAAGTTTAATAAATGATATGAAAGTAATGAAATTTTTCATAATTAAAAACGGAGTCCTTGTGCTTCTACTCTTTCTCTCTCCCTCCCCTTCCTTTCTTTGTTCTCCGGTGACGTGGGGAGGGGCAACATTCTCAGGTTGAGGACTCCTGCCTCCTCCTTATTTCTAGCAGTCACGCACACACACACACACACATATGCACACACACTATGTACATTTTTTATACTAAGTTTTATGTACAACAAGCCATCTCTCAGAAGCCTGCTCCCCTTTTCCACTTGTGTGCCCCCACAGTCCCCATCCTGCCTTTCTGTCCTACACTTCATGTCATTTCATTAATTTCTTATAATATAAAGATAAAATAACACTTTGTGTTTGTTTCTTTTCTTTTCTTTTTTTCTGTACTCATATTCCAATCTGTTGTTTTTATAAACTTTTTTTTTTTTTTTTAATCAAACTGTTATGGAGTGATTTCACAGTGGAGGCTTGCATTTGTACTAAGTCGGTCCTAAAATAGGTTCAACGTACAAAACGTTAGGAATTTGATATAATACGTATAACGCAGAGTAATCTAGTTGTGGTCGCTGATACTTTAGTATCCAACTAACTGTTGTCCGACATCGACTGACTGGCCAACGATATTTAGTCATCCCCCCCCTTACAACGAGGGCATCATGTGGCACGAGGCCGGTTTAACGTGGACTCTCCGAGCCCGTGGGCTTGGCCAAAAATATGCACATTGAACCCGTATAAACAGGTTCATGGTCGGTTTACCTCACTGAAAGAGAATCCTCCCTTTGGCATAGCCTCTTTCGGGTTTCTCCCCACCTGAAGGCAGAGAGTTCAACTGATCAGCCGGTCGACCGACATCGACTGACTGACCAACTCACTGAGCGACCCCTCGTTACTCTTACTACTCCTACTTATTATAGGTGGGAGAGTCTATTAACTATAGAATAGGTGTGTTCCACTATAACACAAACAAGCAATAATAATAAAGATACAAGGATTACTGTGTGTTGGAGAATATGAGAAAAACTACTATTAAGGTGAGAGGAAAATAAAAGAAGAATTAATTTAGATTTTCCTTCTGCTTGTGCTGTTAGGTGTCATGGGGAGACACAGTCATTTGTCAGTAGCAAGGCGAGTGTCCTGGAGGAGAGATATCTTGTGGGCTCTGAGAGTGTCTGCTACTGAGTTGCTCCAGCATCTTCTTGGTCTACCTCTTGCTCTCCAGCCAGAGTACATGAGGGTGTATGCTTGTAGAGCTGGAGAGGTTGATAGGCATACAAGTGAGGGTGTCTGAATCAATATTGCCCCATTCGTGATCTTTCCCGCCCGGTCTTGTTCACTGTTTTACTCTGGCATTTCATCTCACAAGTGAAAGGAGTGTCAATGTATCTACATCCAGTGGTTGCTCACTCGACAGTATTTGATTAGACAGTTGTTTTGCAAGCAATTCTCACTGGTACTCAAACTATTAGGACCTTGTGCCAGACATGAAAATTTAATTCTCACTCGGTGATTAGCCATTGTAACCTTGTTCCAGATTAGGTTGAGTTTAGTAAATGATATGAAAGTAATGAAATTTTTCATAATTAAAAACAGGGAGTCCTTATGAAGAAGAATTAAGAATACAATCATTGACATTGCATTTAATTTTTAAAGATCAAAGGCAATAAAGCCACTAGGATGCAAGGGGTTACTGAGTGTTAGAGAATATGAGAAAAACTACTAAGAAGAGAAGACAATAAAAGAACAAGAATTAAGAAGACAGAAGATAACGATTGATCTTCAAAAATTTAAATGTAATGTTAAAGTTGACTGGGAAGGAAGAAGCTGCAAGAAACACGAGAGAAGAAACTGATAGCATAGAACAGTTATAGTTCCATCTAGTCATTTCAACTTTTAATTGATGAGACCTAACTGCCAATCTAGTACTGTGCTTAAATTCATAGAAAAGGTACAGGGAAGCTACGTTATAGCTGTGGGAAAGTGACTGATGCTGATATGTCAGGTCAGGACAACTAATATTGCAGATTATTTGGATTTTATCAAGAATCTCTAAATATACAGCAAAAGCACTGGACCATATGTGGCGGCAATATTCAAAGCGTGGATGAATGGTAGACTTATAAATATTCAAGATAGATTCTGGAGAGAAAAACTTAGATTGAATGTGTAAAGAAAGTGGTTTTCTTTCTCTAAAATTATTGCAGAAATGGGCAGAAGTTAGCCCCCCAACAATCTATTAAATTTTTATGTTCCCCATCTTCTGTCTTGGCTGGAGAAATTAGAACTGTGTTATTCTTTACTGTTGATTTCCTATTTCCCATGTAAAATTGATACAGAAATGTTTCCTTCTTGTTTGAGTTAAAATATAAAATTCAATTGTCAATTTAAGGCCGAAGAACTTAAACTTTACCATTCCTGGTTGAGATGATGAAAAGAAACATTGCCTCTCCTCCTTGTACTTACCATCCATTTCTCCCATGTTCTCTTAGTGCAGTGGTTCTTAACCAGGAGTGATTGTACCCACTAGGAGTGCAATATCGGTTCCTAGGGTATGTAAGGATACGGAATCATTAGTGGTGGTTTGTTAAGGAAACTCTAGTATTTTGGCATAAAAGTTTACACAGTAGGAATTTTACCAATTGCTATCATCGTAATAGCATAAATGGATACTTAGGGGAAAATACAAGCTAAAATTGCTGGCACAACTGCGGTAAAGTTAGAATTACTGCTCGGTAAAGTTTGTTTTTATAAAGAGCGGAACTACTGTTCAACTATTTGAGATGTGTTTGCTCAAATGTGATGTTTAAATATTGTTAAATTGTGTTTGTGCTTACATATAATTATTTATGCATAGGGGGCGGATGGTGTAAATATTTATACATAGATATATTTAACATTTCGTTAATATTTTCAGGATGGAATTTGAATTATGTAAAAATATTTGTTAATTGTTTTGTTGCTGGATTAGTTTATAAACTATGAAAGACAATTGATATAAACTGAAGTTTTTATTGTCAGTGATTTTTGTTATTTATCCATGAGAATAATAATTTTTTTTTTTTTTTTTTTTTTTCATCAATTCTGGAAGAGGGGTGCATAAACTGGTTGGTAGGGGGTGAGAATGGATTGAAAGGGGGGGTGCTGACAAGTAAAAAGTTAAGAATCATTGTCTTAGAGGATGTGAGAACTGGGAAATGGTTTGAAATGGGGGGAGGCAAGAACTGTTTGGGGGTTGAAAGGGGTGAAACTGTTTGGGGGGGGTTTGAAAGTGGGGTGCTGACAAGTAAAAAAGTTAAGAATCATTGTCTTAGAGGATGGCGAGTGACAGTTACATGGCTATACAACTGTTGTCCTCTTTTCACCAACTTCACGCCATGATGTGTTTTTGGTTCCTGTTCCTGTTTGGTGTGAACAGAGTTTGGGAAAGGGCCTGATGCATATTCAACAAAGGAACAAAAGATAAAATATCACCAGAACAAGAAAACTGTTCTCAAAA